ATATAAAAAATTATTTTTATATCATCACTCATATTATAATTAAGAATAGCCTAATAAAAAATACATTGCCGTTGGGACCTATTCTACGTGGCACCGACCCGGATCATCAGGATAAGTAAATTCGGCAATACTCAAACGCGCAGAGCACACACGCGTCATTTTGACATTTCCCTCAAAATATATAAAAAAAAATATATACATAAACCCAACGAATCCCAAACGAAACCAAACTCTCATAAAATTTTTGAAGGAGAAGGAAGGAGCAGAAGAAGAAACAAATTCGTCTTCTTCCTTTTCTTCTTCTTCTTTAATTGATTATTATTGAAATTCATATTCTTCTGATTTTTCTTCAGTTTTCGAATTCTCCCGATCGTAACGGTGTGTGTGTTATTAATTACGGTTGGATTTGAGGTGTCAGAGTTTTTGTTTTATGTATTGATGATCATCATGGAGTCACCGGAGACAGGGAGAGGGGTGGCGTTGGAATTTCCGGCGAGTGAAGCGCCGGCGTATTCGAGGATGCCGATGAGGATTAAAAAGAGGCTTCTTGTGGAGTGCAAGACTCCCACTACTGTGGAAGAAATCGAAGCAAAGCTTCGCCACGCGGATCTTCGCAGACAGGTGTCGAAAAGCTTTTCTTTCCTCCTATTTTCTTTGTTTCTTAAGGAAAGATTTTGATTTTAGTTCTGGTTTGAAGTCTTTTGGTTCTGCTTTGTTTGGTTGGTGAGAAAATAGTGGAAATTAAAGAGAGAGAATGGATTTTGTTCTTTTGAGTTCTACATTCAAATTAAAGCTTACTTAATCAGTAATAACACTTAGTTGAATCATTGGTTTAGTTGATTCAAGTCTCTTAAATTTTTGTTTTAAAAGGAATTCATGAATTGAAAAGAAAAATGTTTCGAATTTCACATGATGGAAATTAGTTCTTCATTTCCTCTGGAGAGATGATTCTTTACCTAACTTGTTGGTTTAGTTGAGTTAGGTATTGCGGTATCGAATTTTTTTTTTTTTTAATTAACTGAATAGACGCATGGAGATTCTGTTTATAGGTTTTTTCTTTTTTTTTTCCCCTTTTGGAATTTTCTTGTTTCTTTTGATTCCTTTTTCTTTTGATGTAGGATGAGAAAATTGATGAGAAATGAATTTAGGTTAGTGTTTTTAGACATGTTTCAGAATTACAGAACTTAAGGACTAAGCAAAACTGTGAAATTGTGAAAGTGAAGAATTTACTTTCAGGGTAGTGTTTGTGGCTCTGTGCCTTTTAACACCCATTTTCCTTTTACGTCACTTTCTCACCAACCATGGTATTCTCTTTTTTTCTCTTGTTTTGTGTATTTAAAGATTCTAATGATTTATTTGGCTTGTTTATTGTTGGTTATTACTTTCTTTTCTTTTTAATTTATGTTTAGTTTTACATCATACCACTTGAATTCAAGATGAAGTTTCACTTGTTTGAATATGAACTGACTTCCATGCATGTTTTTGGGTTATTATTTGAGTGTAGCAATTCTATGAAAATGTTTCAAGCAAGGCACGACCAAAGCCAAGAAGCCCCTTACAGTCCTCATCGAATGATGAACACCTTAGTCAGCGACTTGAAGCAAAGCTGCAAGCTGCTGAGCGGAAAAGGTAAATTACTATATGGCACTGAAACCAGTCAAGTGTCACATTTTAACTTATATGTTATATTAACCTTTCTTCTCTTGCGATATCTTTGGCCTTGGTTTCTATGGTCTGAGAGTTCTCCATGTGACTTTTAATTGTTGCTAGTATATCATTAGTGTTTATGATTTCCAACATAAGCACCATTGATTGTATTTCATGATGTCATCTCTGTATTGATGTGTTTGTAATTTGACTACTTGTGTAACCAACAGGTTGAGCATTTTGGCAAAGGCCCAGATGCGACTTGCTAAGTTGGATGAGTTACGGCAAGCAGCTAAAACTGGGGTAGAAATGCGTTTTGAGAAAGAACGTGAGAAGCTTGGTACAAAAGTGGAGTCACGGTTTCAGCAGGCAGAGGCAAATAGAATGCTTATTCTCAAGGCATACAGTCAACGAAGGGCTACAATAAAGGAGAGATCATCCCAGTCATTATTGCGTAGGATGGCTAGAGAAAGCAAGTATAAGGAACGTGTGCGTGCTGCAATTCACCAAAAGCGTGCAGCTGCTGAGAAGAAGCGTCAGGGACTGCTAGAAGCAGAAAAGAAGAGAGCACGAGCTAGGTTTTTACGGGTTCGGAGGGTGGCCAACTCTGTCTCTCACCAGCGTGAGGTTGAGAGAAGCAGAATGAGGGACCAGTTGGAAGATAAATTGCAAAGGGTATCGGTGATTTTAGATTCTGCAGTACCATTATTTATCTTGAAGTAAAATTAGGCTGGCAGGTGGATTTTATTTTATGTGCATAATATTTTCTTATAGAGTTTTCTGATAACTAGGCAAAGAGGCAAAGAGCAGAATATTTGAGGCAGAGAGGAAGGTCACATAATACCGTCCGAGTGAACTGGAAGAAGATGCACAAGCAAGCTGATCTGCTTTCCCAGAAGTTAGCTAGGTATCCATCCTGAATATTTTACTTTATGATCTCTAATGGCTTTAATGTTGTACTGTTTAGTCTATATGTGAATTTCATTAGTTTTTTGTTATATTGTGTTGGGGTGTAGCTATTGATTGTTTTATATTGTCTTTTATTGCATTATGTTTTCCATTTTAATTGTTAGCAAAGATATCTAGAAAACAAAAACTATGCATTTATTTTCTAGTACTCATATTTTTCATTGATGTAGGTGCTGGAGGCGGTTCCGTAAGCTGAGGAAAACTACCTTAGACTTGACAAAAGCCTTTGATGGATTGAAAATTAACAAGAATGCTGTAAAATCAATGCCATTTGAACAACTTGCCCTTTTGATTGAATCAAATACTGCCCTTCAAACTGCAAAAGCTTTACTTGATCGGATTGAAAGCCGCTTTAGAGCCTTAAGGACTGTTGGTGCCACCAGTCATACATCCAATTTGGATAACATTGATCACCTTCTCAAAAGAGTTGCGACTCCTAAGAAAAGGACCACTCCCAGGACTTCTGTGCGGAGCAGAGGAGAGGCAAAGAGAGTGTCTTCTGTTAAGGAGCCAACTAGAAGTCCATCTAAACTATCAAGATATCCAGTCAGAATAGTTCTTTGTGCCTACATGATATTGGGGCATCCAGATGCAGTTTTCAGTGGTCAGGGGGAGCGAGAGATAACTTTGGCAAAGTCTGCAGAAGCATTTATTGGAGAATTTGAGTTGTTGATAAAGATTATGTTGGAGGGGCCTGTCCACAGTTCTGATGAAGGCTGTGACTCTGCATCACCCAAACACCAGACCTTTAGATCACAGCTAGCTGGGTTTGATAAAGCCTGGTGCTCCTATCTGAATTCCTTTGTAGTGTGGAAGGTTAAAGATGCTCAATCATTGGAGGAGGATTTGGTAAGAGCAGCTTGCCAACTTGAGCTCTCCATGATTAAAAAATGCAAGCTAACTCCAGAAGGAGATAATTCCAAACTTAGTCATGACATGAAGGCTATTCAGAGACAGGTCTTGCCTTAACTCTTTTTGTTGATTGAACTTTTGGATGTATATTAATTTTGCTTGCTTTTCGATTTTCTTGACAGGAGGCTCTAAAACATTTAGTTGTTTCTTAAATCAAAATTACTTCTGCTGAAGTTTCTCATCAAAATTTTCATTATGCAGGTTATGGAAGATCAGAAGCTTCTACGAGAGAAAGTGCAACACTTGAGTGGAGATGCTGGGATTGAGCGAATGGAATTTGCTTTGTTTGAAACGCGCTCTAAATACTTCCAAGCAAAGGAAAATGGTAGCCCTATAGGATCACCAATAACACACATCCTCTCTCCAAGCTCACCTAGTTCCCCAGATGCTCCTACTGCTAGCAGAGATAATAGAAGTAATGTGACTGAGAGGCCAAACCATGTTGTCCGCCGCTCCTTGTTCAAGGAAGACAGATCTGCCCAACCCCCAGATTCAAGTTCCTCTGTGCCTAGTAGTAGCTCTTCAGATGCTCAGTTGGGTTCTATTGAGAAGCATCTTGTCACAGAAAATGAGTTGATTGTGAATGAATTTCTCCATGAGCAGTGCCGTGCATTTGTTGAAAGGTTCAGTGTCACTGAAGAAAATCGAAATGATATTAAGGTTTGTGCATTTTCCATTACTAATATTATCCTTAGTAGAAGAATGAATCTCCAAAAATTGTCGTCTGAATTTTTATCAATTCCACTTTATTGCATTAGGAAAGACGCTTTGGTTGTTTGTCCTTTTTCTCATTGTTTTCATAAAGATGTGTGAAAAATGCAGGAGTAAGAAATAGCCTCTGAGTTTACCATTATATCTTCTGCTGTTCTCCTTAATGGATTATTGTGAATATGTATCAGAAACATACTTAACATTATGCTTTCTTGTTTGGACGATCAGAATTTTGTGTTTGAAAAAATTGTTTTACTTCAGTTTGCTCATATTTTTCATTTGCAGTCTAAGATAAGAGAAACAATGGAGAAGGCATTTTGGGATAGCATCTTGGAATCCATGAGACAGGATGAGCCCAACTTTGACCGTGTTATTCAACTTGTGGGTGAGGTGAGGGATGAAATTTGTGAGATGGCTCCACCAAGCTGGAAAGAAGAGATAACTGAAGCTTTGGACCTAGAGATTCTCAGTCAGGTAACTAACCATCTTCTTTTATTGTCGCCAAAATAAGTATTATGTATCCAAGCACTAATAATCTTAAATCTTTTATAATTTTTTTTTTCTCACAAGGTGCTGAAGTCAGGTAACATGGAAATTGATTATCTTGGAAAAATTCTGGCATTTGCTTTGGGCACTCTGCAGAAGCTTTCTTCTCCTGCGGATGAAGATCAACTGAGGGCCAAGCACCAGAAATTGTTGAGAGAGTTAGCTGAGATATGTCAAGCAGGGGATGAGTCAAATCATTCTTCTGCAGTTGCAATGATCAAAGGTCTACGCTTTGTTCTAGAGCAGATTCAGGTGCATTTTATCTACTATTACCCTAATTTTATGTGGAAGATTCAATATGCAATTTCTATTTAGAACATTCAACATTCTCTGAGGAGTTAGGTTCTCTTTCTAGTAGTAGTCTTATATGCAAAATTATTCAACAGGTTCTTAAGCTAGAGATAAGCAAAGCACGTATCAGAATGATGGAGCCTTTGCTAAAAGGACCTGCTGGATTGGATTACCTTAGGAAAGGTTTTTCCAACCGTTATGGGTCTCCCTCTGATGCCCACACCTCTTTACCAGTGGCAATGCAGTGGGTTTTATCTGTATGGAACTGCAAAGATCAGGAGTGGGTAGAACACACAAATTCTTTATCAGCTTTGATTAGACAAGAAAGCTCATCTCAGGTCCTTATTCCTTCTGTAACCCTTAAAACTGGCGGAAGCTTTCATTCAACAAGTGGAAGCCAAACTCTCCATACTTCTGCTACAATTACTAGAGGTTTGTAATTACTTGTCTACTTGTATTAGTTAAAGGGCAACTAACATTATGTGTATATCTGTCCCTCTTGAAAATTTCAACCATTATGTTTCAGACACTCATTCTTCACTGCATTCCCATTTTTATGCGGTTTTATGTTTGTTGGATCAGGTCTTCAACAACCTGAATGCAAGGGAGAAAGAGTTGAAGTGCTAGTGAGGCTTGGTTTATTAAAGTTAGTTAGCAGAGTTTTGGGCCTGACATCAGAAGTTTTGCCTGAAACTTTCATTCTTAACCTCACTAGACTGAGGGCTGTTCAGGCCGAAATTCAGAAGATAATTGTAACAGCAACAAGGTGAGTGTTTATCTCTCTCCCTTTCTACTCTGTCTGATCCTTGATTTTCTTAAAGCATCACAAGCGTTTTCTTGGGGTTAGGAGGGCATTTTATCTTGTCTAATTCTTGACTGCAACTAGATTCTAATCTCTAATTACTTTAATTACAGCATTCTTATATGTCGGCAAACCTTACTCAGTGAGCAAGTATTAGCCAACTCAACAGACGTGGAAAGTATAATATCCAAGTGCACTGAACAACTGTTGGAGCTCTTAGACCGTCCGGGAGAGGGAGGTCTTGAAGAAATTGTTGAAATAATCAGTGGATTCTCCGGAGATGGTGTCCATGGAGCAGATACTGAGAAACTTCGATTGAGGAGAGTTGTAATGGCTAAGACCTTGGCGAAGAGCCTGCAAGCCGGGGATGCAGTGTTTGAAAGGGTAGCGCGTGCTGTTTATATGGCTTTCAGAGGAGTCGTGCTGGGAGGCAGTGGTCCCCAAGGAAGCAAATTAGCTGAAACTGCCCTCAGACAGGTCGGAGCTGGCTTGCTGACACAAAGGGTGGTGGAAGCTGCCGAAGTGTTGGTGGTTGTAGCCACTGTTTCCATCGGTATCCATGGACTTTGGTATACAAACATGATCGATAAAATGTGATGAATTTGTGAATATGTATGAAATAAGTTGATTCAAACAGCGTGTACATATATTGTGTGTGAACCATTGTTTGAAATGGCTTGTAGATGGATGGATATTGATGATCAAGCTACGTAGGACAGACAGATGTAAATGGTAGTGTTCAGTTTAAGGAAAAATTAATTCGTTGTTTCTTTTCTGTTTACCCGGTGTCAATTTGAATTAATTTGCATTTCTACATTGTTGTATTGGCTCTCATATTATGGGAGAAATGTTATCTAATCATAATTTGGAAAAATAACCTAATAATCTAAGAATTTTGTTTATTTGATGAGATATACCCTATGAAACACAATCCCCTTATGAATATTTTTAAGAATTTATTGATTTGAATTAAATATGAAAAATATTTTTAAAATTACCTTGTAATAAAAAATAAAATATTTATAAAATTATTTAATATTTTTAATAAATCACTTATATACGTGAATTTATTATTAAAATTTTTATTTATACATTCTTTGTACTTTTTTTTCCTCCTATAAATTAGACTTGAAAATTCATCTCCATACGTGTTGCAGTAAAAAAAAAAGAAAAAATGTTAATCACATAATAATATTTAATTTTTTGTTAAAGATAACTGTAAGTGATGTGGAAATTGATTTCCACACCAAACCATTGTACAAAAAAGTTTAAAACCCTGGCATTTTCAATTAGTCATACAAATCATCTACCCATTTTTTTTCTCAGAATCCTATGCATTTCTTGTCATTGTCCATGATGGTAACACTCTTCCTGCACCATTCTTATTAACCATTATCTCTGACCCATTCCTTTCAGAATCACAATCATACGCATAATCATCGAAATCCAGCTCATCATCGAGGCAGTGATTATAGACTGGATCCTTTGAATTATAATACGCCTCACCATTTTTGTTCTGCTCCTTTGTTGCTCTTTTCTTGGATCGACCTGTGCTTCTTGTGAAGTCATCCCCCTCATCCATGTCTGTGTATGCAACCCCATTTGCACCTCTTCTCCTCTTTGCCGAATCATTGCTGTCATTGCTACCGCTGCTGTTCTTGTCTGTCTTGTAGTGTTCCTTGATGGTAGCTTCAATGGTTTCCAGCACTCGATCTCCATACTTGCTTATCTTGGCCCTAAATGGAAAACAAAATGTTTTGGAAACTGTTTACTAAACTATGTATGACCACCTTAGATTCTTAGAACTTACTTTCCAATGCCATTGATCTCAAGGAGTTCTTCCTTTGTTCTTGGAATTTTTTTACTTATCTGCTGCAGCGTAGCATTTCTTGGAAAAAACAAACAAGAAGCAACTTATCAAGACTCAGCCACCAAGAATATTTCAGGAGTACTATCTAATATCATAATAATCATATGCAGCAAAATTTTCCCTCCATTTTGATGTTTTCCTATTAAACTGAACAGAAATGGTAATGCTGAGAGCTCACCCAAATATGTGGTATGCCATAACCCCTTCCCCAGCTTCTTTAACGAGAATAGTCCGAAGCATTCGCAAAGCAGAATATAGTTTGGCTGAGAGATTCTATATCAACAAAACATGATTTAGAAGTCTAGCAAAGTGATTTTAAGTGGATGTCCAAATGAGGAGATAAAGGTGCATATATACCAGGTCTGCTACAGATTGCGGCTGTGCAGGAGTGTCAACTTGAGGAGGAATTAGCTTCCCAGATGTAAGCAAGCCTTTTGCTGGAGTTACTTCACATTTACCCAGCTTAGATGCTTTTGCAGGGCAAGGAAATCTAGAAAGCATATTAAGAAGTCAGTGATAGCATTGTAGCATTCATGCCACTTAAGCTGTACAATAATTATAAGGTAGCTCAACCTTAATACTATTGTCTCCCTGTTTGAGCGAAGATTGTAAGCCTTGGATTCATTAACCTGAAGCAAATGTAAGGGAAAAGGTACATTTATATATATAATTAACTAAATAAGGACTAACAGAGAGGAAATTTTCCTTTTTCAAGATAAATAATTTAATAAAGGATGCACTAAAAGTGTAGGAGGAACAGGAAGTACCTTTAGTACTGACGAAACAGATCCATAAATATCACTTTTCTTAACATCTTCTACAAGAAACTCCTCAATAACAATGTGGCGCAATACACGGGAGGCTTCACCCTTGCCAAGATGTTTGCCAGCACCATGTAGGTGCAAAGTCTCATGTCTATGTTTTTTGACCTAGTTTTGGCATTAAAAATATCAGATTAAAAAAGATAACATAAATGAACAGAAAGCATTATAAGTTAACATGTTTATTGTTAAGACATACAAACTGGTTTAAGGAACCTCTGTAGACTTCTAAAATATGAGATGACGAAAACTGCTGGCCTGTTAACTTCACAAGTTCAACCTAGAAGAATTTATCACATTTGATTAAAAAATGCAAATTCAAATTATAATATTAGCCCAATAAAAAAAAGAAAGCATAGAAAACTTATAAGAAAATAAATTATCTCTAACCAATTGCTTTGCTATATCAGTGACATCCTTCTCAACAAAACTTTTAACCCTGGAGCAATTATCACACGTGTTTTTACAGTTTGCAGAATCAAATTTCTCTCCAAAATGTAGAAGCTGGAGGAGACGTCGACAATCAACATCATTTTCACAATAACTGACCTGAAAGAGCAAGATTGTTGTGAGAATTCGGAGAAAATAACAGTAGAGGAAACACTGAAGAAGTTTATGTGATAACTTCACCATGCGTAGGAGATTTTCTGTATTGGTCTCCAGTACCCTCCCTGAATTTGCCATATTGCGACCATATCCCATTGCCAACGGGCTCTGTTCTACCGCTCCCTGACTAATCATGTGCTTGACACGCATCTGCAAATGAATAACATCCGAACATAATAGGCAATGGGTTTTTTCTTTGGAATAATCTATCATTTTGAAAATAAAAATTTATCATGAATAAGAACATGCATTAAATAAACTGAAGTGACTTACATAATCACTATAACTGTAGTACAATAAACAAGAAGAACGCTGGCCATCTCGACCAGCACGGCCACACTCCTGAAACATGGCAAAAACACATTAAGCTTACAGAATCCCAATTGGCCCAAGAAAAACCTATTCTGACTGCCTTATATCATCATCCTCAATAATTTACCTGATGGTAACCTTCAATTGATTTGGGGAGAGAATGATGAATTACAAAACGAACATCTGGTTTGTTGATACCTGAAATACTTCTGTCAGAGCGGGACATTTTCATAAAGTCAATGCATCTGCCAGCAAAAACCAATTATACCCATTCCAAATGCAACCGTTGCGCAAATTATGTTGATTTCATCTTTGCTCCACTGCTTTTGAACAAACGCACGTTGTGCAGAGTCCATAGTACCATGATAAAAAGCTGCTTTATGCCCATATTCCTGGAAAAGAATCACATTGTTTTAAGCAAGCAGGATTTAACTGGGTGCGAACAATCAATTCCTTGCAAAATCTTGATTTGTAGCTCATCAGGCTCTCACTTTTTAGTTGAGCCCTTAGTTTCTTATTAGTTGCAAAATTAACTTTAGGAAAGAAACAAGATAGCATCGTTTTATTATTTACTCCCTACAGTTTTCTAGTCTTGTAAAAGCCTGATCCAGATCAGTCAGTTGGACCATCTACCATATCAACCAATCATGAACATGCTTCAGGTTAACTCGTGAATCCGTTTTCTTAAACAAATGGAATCTAATCATCTATCAAACCCTAAAATTAACTACAGCAGTCAACCTATCAACAAGTCCTTTTAAAAATTGGCCTACAGCAATTATAGAGTGACATAGAAGAAGGACAAACCTGTAACTTCTCAGCAACCTTTTCACAGTCCATTCTTGAAAGACAATAAATAATTCCACATTCATCAAAATGATTTTCTTTAATGAACTTGTCGATGTCTTCCACACACTTCTTTGTCTTGGGGATAACAGAATACCTGTACCCTTATCTAATCAGTGATTATTATTATTATTATTTTGATGAATAAAAATGTGTTATAAATTGTGAGTACAAGGGGTACTCGCCTGTTACATTAATCAGTGATTATTTTAAAGATGAAATTACATTTCTATCTCAAGTCACCACTTACCATAGATTTGGGCGATTAAAACTTTGCTGGAAAACAATGCAGTTAACAAGACCAAGAGCTTGCACAACATCTTCCTTCACACTGGCTGTTGCAGTTGCTGTTAAAGCCAAAACTGGAACTTTTGGAAACTTCTGTTTCAAGATACCAAGACCCTGGACATTATACCCAAGTGCTTGTTAAAAATAAGTTACATTATCTGGGAACACAGGATGAAAATGAAATCAAGAGCTACAACCTGGTAATCTGGCCTAAAGTCATGTCCCCACTGACTCACGCAATGAGCTTCATCAATGACAATCCTGGCAAGCAAATCACGTGCATTTAAACTCTCCAAGTGTCTCAACAGGACATCACTCCTGCGGCCCCAGAAGAAAGATAAATGAAGTATGTTAAAAACAAGTATTATATATATAAAGGACAATCCATAAAACAAAAAACAGAGTAATACAGAAAGCCTTGAGTGAAATTTTCAACCATATCTCTTTTGAAAGCAATTAATACAATATTATATATATATATCTTCTTGGCCAACAGCATTCAAATACCATGAAAAAAGAAAACAATTTTAAACAGCATAACAAAGCATCAAGAACTCAATTTCAATATGCACCACTTGAGTAATTAATGAAATTGATGTGTAGGGCCACTTCTCTAATATTAGAGCAATATTTTGCCAACAAGATTCAAACACCATAAAAAATGAAAACAATTTTAAACAGCATAACAAAGCATCAAGAACACAATTTCAATACACACCACTTGAGTAATTAATAAAATTGATGTGCAGGGCCACTTCTCTAATATTAGAGCAATATTGGGCATGTGATGGCACCAAAGTAAATTAACTTATCAATCAACTATCTTACAACCGCAAGATAAATATGCAGACAGCACTTACTTAGCCACTTTTTCTGGGGTAACATATAACAGTTTGTATTTACAATAGTCAGAATTAAGCTCTCTAAGGATCTCTTGTTGTTCAGCCCACTCCATATTGGCACTCAAGTAAGCAGCAGGTATATTTGCCTGTTGTGAAAATCAAATGGGGAAAAAAGTACATTTTGTTAGGCAACAAAAGGATTGGCGAAATGGAAGAAGAAAACAGGCAACTGGATCAGTGAGAGAGGACATTACCTGCAGTAGATGCATTATTTGATCCTGGATGAGAGAGACAAGTGGAGAAATTACCAATGTTATTCCTGGGCAGATAAGAGCAGGAAGCTGCAAGACAAAAACAAGAAATTGCTCAATAACACAATCAAGTTGTCAATAGAAACACAATCATGGGGAGACCTTTATTTCTTCCTGAGAATTCACACTCAAAGCATGTGAAGATATATTCATTTCTTTGGTATTAAGCTTTCTGTAAGATGCTGGATGATATTAAGGATTTTGGATCTCAGGCAGATAAGCAAATAAAAGCTTGCCAAGACAACTAAAATAGACAGAGATTATGGTGGAAAAAACCAATTGAGAAAGGAATAAATAAACTGTCTTAAAAAAGAAGCATCATATACAGAACCTAAGAAAAATCTTTTAACCTGATAAGTCAGGCTCTTTCCTCCTCCAGTTGGCATCAGAACAAAAACATCATGTCCACTCATTGTAGCATTAATGACTTCCCTTTGATTAGGGCGAAATGAGTGGTTTCCAAAAACCTTCTTGTTATTAGCCTGAAAGGGGAAGCAAGCTTAGTTAAAAGAAAAAAAGGGAAGGGAAGCAGTCAACAAGTATCAGGATAGGCAATGTATACAGGAACTTGCTAATAACAATTTAGATAAGCACCTCAAGCTTTTTGGTCCATGAAAAATCCCTGCTACGCCACTGTTGGTCATTGGAACCTTCAATATAATTAACTTCAATGATCTTTGGAATGTACGGCTCCCTACCCACAGGAGCTGATGAAACATCAAAATTATTGAAGGAAGGGAATGAAACCGATGCCGTATCCCAGTTCCTGCACATGCTTGAGTCATTATGTAAATGAACCCGGGCATGAAATTTGCTTGGTTCTATCCAGGATGCAGTTGCTTGAGGCGTTTCATATTGAAAAGTTCGAGATGCTGTTGATGCAGCAAAATGTGATTTTTGTCTTTCTGCATCATTGAGATATCTCTCAAGCTGCTGAATTTGCTTATTCAGTTGTAACCTAACACCATGAACAATTTCAAGCATAAGAGCACAAATATTACAGTTTCTGATTCACTTGGATTAGGAAAAAAAAAATTGCATCCAAAAGCTTTAAAAGAAGTTAGAAGAATAAAGATTAAAAAAAAAAAAAAAGCACAATTAAATATTCTCAACTTGCCACCTTCATTATCCAAATATGAAGGCCATAGAT